CTGAGGCAAAAGTTGTTCACTTTATTTTTCTGCATAACATAGTTTTTTTTCAGATTTTTTCGGGATTTCTTTTTTTTTTTTTTTTTTTTTGCTGGGACCTACTTTGGCCCTGGCTGGTAGCCTAGGTTTGTATTGCAATTTTACACAAAGTATATTCTACACCACTTTCAGAAAAATAAAAATAAAAAAATTGTGCGCTGAGAGTGCCCGGGTACCTGCAGGTACGTTGCCCGGCTGGGCCCGCCGAAATGGTACCCAGGCTGGCAGCGCCAGCTCTGGCCACCCGGGGACCAGCCCTTTCTCATGCTCGTTTCCCGGCAGGTGATGATTGCCAGCGGCGATGGTCGCTGTTCAGAAAGAACAGGACGAGGGATCACCGGGTAGGGACGGCAAGAGTGCTAATCTCCTTTGCTGTCCTTTGGGACATGCATTAAAATTTGAAACTGGAACGATACGGAGAAGAGTAGCATGGCCCCGGTGCAAACATGACACGCATAATTCAAGAAATGGTCCAAATAATATTTTTTTTTTTAAACGAAAAAAGAAGAGTGCTGACCTTTGATAATCGCCGCAAAAGTTGGTTACACGTCCGCAGCATGACCAGCTTTCCCCTAGTGTGAAGTTCCGTCTGCGAAGTCACAGTGCACAAACAATCAACACAGCAATGCCACAAATCAGCCACATGTCCACACAGAGACGACGGGTAGACACGCCGAGATGACGAGGAGTAATCAGCATGCCAGCCCACACCTCTGCGCAGCACCGAGCATACATACACACACTGAAACCAGAATTCAAAGTCAGCAAGTAGCATGTCCGTCCATCCGTCCATCTGTCTGTCCAGAGGTCATCTATCTGTCCATCTGCCATCCCATCTGTCTGTCAATCAGTCCATCATTCTTCTGTCCATCTGTCTGTCTCTCTCTCTGTCCATCTGTCCACCTGTTTGTCCATGTGTTCGTCCACCTTGCTGTCCATTTGTCAGTCCATCTTTCTGTCCATCTGTCTATCCGTCTGTCTATCCATCTGTCATCCCATTTGCATGTCCATCCAGAGAAACTCAGCATGTCCACAACACCTTTGAAAAGTACTCAGCATTCGTTCACTGATCGATACCAGTGCTCATGGTCACGAATCTGTGCATCTTTGTCCATCTCTTTGTCCATCTGTCTGATCGAAACCGCCATTCAGCATTACGAATCTGTGCGTCTGTCCATTCAAGAAAAAAACACCATGCCCACAACACCTTTGAACAGCAGTGAACATACACAGATCGAAACCAGTAATCTTCGCAAGGAATCTGTTCATCTGTCTGTCCATCTGTTTGTCTATCTTTCCGTCCACCTGTCTGTCCATTCGAGAAACACTCGTCATGTCCACAACTGCTTTGAAAAGAAGTTGGCATTCAGACACACAGATTGAAACCATCGTTCCGACTCTCGACTACGTTAATACGTAGCACGTCCTTCCATCTTGTATGTCCTTGTGTAGCTGTTTGTCCCACGTGTTCGTCCTCGTGCCCAACGATGCAGGAATGAATAATCAGCATGTCAACACCAATGAACAATTAGCAAGAAGCATGTCTGTGCCCCATAGTCAGATCTTTCTTTTTTGAATCCGTGGATGGCTATCTACTGACTGGTCCGCAGACCGCCAACCGGTCGGCCCTACCGGTAGGCTGCAAAACAGTCCGCGGTCGGGGTAGGCAGCCGGCGGGTATGCAACCCTGCTTTCACCTCAAAAAAAATATCGACAAGAAAAGGTAAAACCTGTGTTAAATTCCGGGCCGCCCGGCGGCCCAGCCTCCGTCCGGCAGGGGTCCCGGGCGGCCCGGCCGGTTGGGTCCCCCGGTT